CATTAATCCTTACAGTTTGAAAAATAATTTTCTAATAATATGTCATTAGAATCATTGTAAATCAATATGCAAACAATAAAAATTTATTTTGGAAACATGATAGTTTCACTTTGACATCGTGTTAGTTAGAAATAAATGTAATTTTTTTTGTGAAACAAATAAAATGTCACATCGTATTTGACGGGATAAACTTTTATTTAATTATCAAAATACAAATAGATATAAATCATAAAATAATATGTTTCATAAAAGTAAGTTTTCTTATATCAAGAATATTTCAACCAGGTTGTTAGAAAATAAAACTAAAAATTGTATCAATTCATTGACTTATATAGGATTAGGTTTTTAAATAATTTGATCAATGTGTGACTTTAAAAAAATAATTACTAGATTTCATATTAAGATTAATTAATTGGGTGACACCTGAAGTAGGATAAGGGTGGACCTGGAGTAAATAATATTAAGACCATATCTTATATTATACATAAATATAACCATTAAACAAGGTTACTCGGTTAAAATGTATTTCATTTAAAGGTAAATAATATTTGCAAATAATTAATCGCAAAATCAACATGATACTTTTAGAAATTACAATCGCTTTTCAATTTTCAAATCCACTGATTTCGTTATAATTAGATCACCGGAAACACTTTGCTCCAATGGTTTCTAAAAGTACAAAAATTATCAATGGTTTATAATGCTATTTATCAAAATGTATAGAAATTTCAATAATAATACGTCTGTTGTGTGGAAAACGTAACGATGTACGAGATTGACCAGGGCTAATTTAATCTCCAACTGAGCCAATCGGGTGCCCAGACAGTTTCGAGGGCCGGCACCCCATGGCAAATACGTATAGGGATTGTGTGCTATGTTTTCCGGTAAAAACCTTTCCGGTCTAAACACTTGCGGATCGGCAAAGTATTCCGGGTCTCTATGCATGGCGTAGGTTGGAATGTGCACCACGTGATCCTTTTTAATAGTAATACCGGTGCCCTTTAGCTCGTAGTCTTCGGTGGCCACCCTATTTAGGAACAGGAGGGGCGGGAATAGTCGTAGGGTTTCGTCGATGACTGCGTCCATGTATTTCAATGAGTGTATCGTTTCGTACGGATCGGCACTTGATTTCTGTTTTAAATATTATTACAATTTAAATGTTATGTCAAAGATCAAGGTGAATGTAATACTGTACTCGACATAATAACATCAATATATATATTTATAATATACAAAAAGATCAATCGATGACTAAAAATGAATGACTATTGATAAATAATTTGTGATGAATGTAAGCTAAGTTTGAATGAGTAAACTCTGCTTTCAATGTAAATTTAATTATCAATAGTCATTCATTTTTATTCATCGATTGATCTTTTTGTGTATTATAAACACACATATAAACTTGTAAATTATGGTATATAAAAATTTAATACAATTAACGCAAACCTTTTGTCCGTGAAATGTATGAATTTCATCGTATAATTTGTGCTGAACTTCCGGATGTTTAGCAATACTATACAAACACAGGGATAGAGTGGTCGAAGTGTTCTCATAGGCGCCGATTAAAAACATCACACTTTGGGCTATGAGCTCATCGTAGGAAAGGCCTGCAAAATGTGTGTAAACATGTATTCATTGCACTCTAGCTTTGTTCATATAATATCGATATTAATGAGATTTTTTAAATAATTATATTAGACTATGTTCTGCAACACGTTTACACTCACTTTTATCAACCACATCATCCGTAACCTGTATTTCCATATATGTCTCACACTTACTATCCGTATATTCTTCGGACCCATTGATCGCCTCATTATTATCATCACTCATCGCATTCAACATTAGTTGCAAAAAGTCAACCCTTTTTACAGGACTTCCGGTTTCCAAAACCCGTTTCCTATCGTCGATTAAATTGAATGTAAAATCGCGAAAAAATGCCGTAACTTTACTACTAATAAAAGTTAGCTTGAGCATTTGAGCCACGTTTGGCGCCATCATTATTATACCCGCTTTCATACGGGTAACAAAACTGGGACTGATCATTTGGTGGACATTTTCTATTATAGGATTTGTACGGTCGTACAGACCCGACACTTTCCGGCCAAAAGCCACTTGTATTGTAGACTCCGCAGAGTAGGCACCGGTGATTAGTTTCATGTCTACCGGTGCCGAGAGATTGCTATTACTTTTGGCAATGATTTTGTCGATGTTGTCGTTCATAGTGTCCACGCATTCAAGGATTAAAGGAGTCATTCGTTTGAGTTTTCCGGACGTAAATGCGGGCGATATTACTGTACGGATCCGTTTCCACTCGGAATCCCTTT